TCAGAGAGGTGAGAGGGAGATGGGAAGGATCCAGTTCCTCGCTGTGAAGTACAAACTCTCAAACCAGACTGTCTGGGCTTGAATTTCATGCCTGGCATTTCCCAGCTGTGTGACCTTGGGCAAGTTGCTTAACCTCTCTGTGCCTCAGTCTCTGTGTTTAAAGTAGGGCTTATAAAAGTGTTTATCAAAAGGGGCTTCTGCAAGGCACAGTGCCTCTGGAGTGCAGCAAGTGCAGTGTGAGGAAGCTGCAGCGTCTGACAGGTCTCACTACATACACAACTTTCTAGCAAGAGGTTTCCAGCACCAGCACCCATCGCACATGTTTGAGTCCCCAGGGGGCTGTGCACCAGGCCCCTCTTTTTCAAGGGCTGCAAGTCCAGCCTAGGTGGGCTTGCTAGGGGACCTAGGAGTTTGCTAGCCCTTGGGTGGCTGACAGGTCCCCCCAGGGAATCTGGGTTTCATATTCTTGCTCTCATGTTTCTGCCTCTGAGGTTCACAGGGTAGAAGTGGGGAGCTGCACGCAGAGCAGAGAGAGCTGAGAAGCCTGCACCCGTGTTGGAGCCCAGAGGTGGGAGAGGGCACAGCTGCTGCAAAGGGGGTAGGGTTGGGGGGCTGGAGATTCCTAGAGGGGGGCTATGTCTGGGAGAAGGACCAGGAAGGGAAGGTGGCACTGGGCCCCATGGAGGTGACAGGTGGAAGGCAGGGCTGGAGGAGCCACTCCACACCTCCCGGCTGGAGAGGGCACTGAGGGGGGAGGCTGGGGTCTCCTGGCCACACCTAGAGACTGGATATTGGGACCCTTGTGCGCCTGCCAGCCTTCCTCCAATAAGCCCCTCTAGGCCTCCAGGGAGAGGAGGAGCTTGGCCATGCAAACTGTATTTTTAGTTCCCTGGGCCTCTGGTCGGCTGCTATAGGACACCTCTCCCCACCCCCAGCCCTGCCTGGTTGGCTGGAGGCTCCAGGAGGACAGCTGGGGAGAAGGGGAGCGCGGTCAGTACAATGGCTGCTAGGGGCTGCGAGGGGTGGGGTCTGGGCAAGCTTGGGGGTCCAGTTGAGGCTGCTCTGGGTCAGCCTGGAGCTGCACCAGAGGGGCAGAGTGCCACTAAGGCGCAAGCTAAGCTGGCAGGGGGAGGCACTGCCCAGGCTGGCCCCCGAGGGGGCAGCTCCCAGGAGAAGGAGGAGGGAGTTGATCCAGACGGAAGGGGGCCCCCGGCTTCGGAGAGCCCAAATCCCCTTTCTTCACATCTTCAGTCCCCTCAGTGGAGTCTTAGAGTGTAACCCCCCAGGTTCGGTGGGAGGTGGGTGCTGGCTGACCAAAGGCCAGCAAACTCCCTGGGCACCTAGGCCGGACTTGCCACCCCTGAAAGAGAGGGCTCTGGTGCACAGACCCCTGGGGACCCAGACCTGGACAGGTGGGGGCTGGAAGCCCCTCACTAGGAGTTCTTTGTGTGTGTATGTGACCAGAGGGGAGAGACACCAGACGCTGAATATCACAGAACCAGTCTTTTTCCACCAGACAGGCCCCTGGCTTACCTTGCCAGGGGAGGGTGCTCAGTTAAAGTCCTGGCAACGTTTACTGTGGACAAGAACAGTCTTAGGTGGGCCGGCACCTCCCTTGTGAGAAGTTCGGCGGGCCCTCTGCCCTCAAGGTGCCAGCAGAGCCAGGGCGAGGGAGTGAGCGTGACAAGAATTTGTATTTTGGTTCAGTAGAAAGGAGACTGTTCACGGCTTGAGGTAGTGAGCTCCCTGCTCCTAGGAGTATTCAAGCACATGTTAGACGAGCTGTAGGGTGAATTCATGCATTTAGTGAGAACTTGGACAAGATGCCATTGTAGGCCTGTGTTAGCTTCAAGATACTATGGTCCTATAATTCTAAACATCTCCATCTCCACCTTTCGGTAATTCTGGAATCTGGAAGCCAAGTTTCCAGAGAGATGAAAGTTGAAACTTCGGCATTCCAGCATGTTAATTCTGAGACCTCAAAGTTCCAGAATTTGAGGACTTGAGGAGGATTCTCTAAGTTTCAGATTTTTTGCATTCAAAGGATTCTGTGAAAGGAAAGAAAGAGGTCAGGGGCAGGCCTGACTTGTTGGGTTTCAGTTTTGCCCCATTGGGTATCAAACTTATCCACTTCTGTGTGTGTGTGTGTGTGTGTGTGTGTGTGTGTGTGTGCACGCATGTGTGTGCAGCACAAGAGTGTAAGGCTGCAGAGAGCTGCACACACAAAGGCAGCCTCGTTTTCCCATTTCATGCATCTCCAGCTTGCCTGCCCTGGCCACTTAAGGGCTGTCACAGGGATAATTATAGCCCCCCCCCAAACAAAGCTGGTAACTCCAGGTAGCCATAGCAACTGCTAGGTAACGCCTGGCTGTTGTAGAGATGTGTTTAAGCACAACAGATGTCTATTCCTGCCTATTAGCTTAAACGGTAAAACTTAAAAGGTTTATCAACTTCAAAGCCACAGGTTTCCCTGAGCATGCCACTTAATGGGGATGCCTGCGGAGGAGTGACAGCTTCATATTAAACACTTTAGCATCGGTAATGAGATGATGAGATTTTAAATACTCAGGCTGTCCCCAGACAGCTGGGGAGGCTGGAAATGGAGAAGAGCTGCGGATTTGGGTTTGGGCTCCAGCTGTTCTCCTTCCAACTTCGGGCAGCGGCTGCCTAACCTCACCCACTCTGGTTTCCTTCCAGCCAGGTGGGATAATCATCAGCCCTGCCCTGCCACACGACTGGGCTCACCCTCCAGCAAGTGGCCAGAAGTCAGGGCTGAAGCCGCTGAGGGTCTGAGACCTCTCAGAGTCACCTTTCCTCTTGATCCTGGGTTTGCCACAGAGCAGTACCAGGCTGTTGAATGAACAAACGAATGAATGAACGACAGCCCCCACCCAAATCCCTATGGCAGTTTCTGCTACCTGCTTGGCTCATGCGTCATCTGCTGGGAAAGCCGCATGGGCTCCTGAAGGCCGGCTGGCTTGGCATCTGGGTTAACACGGAGCCTCATGCGTGACTTCCAGGGCACACTGTGTGTGGGGGAGAGAGGCCTTCTGACATGTAGCCTGAGTACTGGTGACCCTTTGGGTAGATGTCAGGAATCAGCTGACTCAGTCAATAAAAAGGATACATGAAGGGTTCACACAGGAGGTGGCAGCTCATGGTAATTCTCCAACAGTAATTGGGCCAGGCTCTAGGAATTCTAGACCCAACATTGCATTGGGGAGCTCTCAGTTTGGGGTTCTTGCTCAGTGCGGGCCACGAAGCTGGCGCTCTTTGACTCCACGTCCTACAATCGAGTCAATTCTTGCCAAACATCCCCATTCACATTTGAAGAGGGGATCGGATTGACGCAGCTGATGGACAAGGGCTGTGGGGCAGAGCTCTGATGTCGGCCGCTCAGCTCTGACGGGCAGTAGGCTGGGGAGGGAGCATGGCTGCCTATGCCTGCCCCCGAGCAGGGCCGGGGCAGGGCAGTTACTTTTATGAAGACTCGTATGGGGGGTCATGCTCACTGGTATGGCTCCTGGAGACCCAGGGCAGCCGGCACACTCACGTCTTTCTGGATCTCATCATTCAAGCTGTAAAACAGAGTGATGCTCACTGCTTCACATTGCGAAGATTAGACGCGATCCTGCCCAAGGAGGCATGTTATTAACTATAAAACTAAGTAAGCTTTACTGCAATTTTATTCCTCTTCCTTATCCTCCCAAGAAGACTGAGTTTCTTACAGGATGTGTTTTACTTGACTCTGCTGTCCTTAACATGTAGCACAGTTTCTGACACATAGTAGGTATTCTGTAACTATGTGTTGGATGACTGGATGGATGGAGAGATGATGGATGGATGGGTGGGTGGACGGGCGAGTGGGTGGGCGGACGGATGATGGAGAGATGTAAAGGAAGGCCAGGCCCCTTCACTTGCCTTCCTTGGAAGGCTGTCCGTCTTTTTATTCAACGAACATTCAGTCAGTTGGTACAGGGCCCTGTGTGAGGTCCAAGAGGTACACTGATAAATAAAACAGAGCCCCTGCCCACATAAAAATCAAAGATGTTCAGGAGCAGGACTCAGGATCCTGATTTCTGGGTTCAAATCCCAGCTCTACCTTCAACTAGCTGGCAGGCGAGGCACATCTCCCCAACTTCTTCTCCACTGAATGGGGATAATGTCAGCATCTTCCCATAGGGCTGTTGGGGGACTTAAAAGTCATCAGTGTAAGGTGCTGGGAATGGGGCCCAGCACTCAAAAAAGTGTGAGTATTGTCTGCAGTCATGCTAATGGAGGAGACAGCAGGGAAACAAAGAAATTAATGCAATGAGGTAAGAAATACAACAGAAACGTGTATACAAGTAAATGGAAGGAGGAAGCAGGTAAGTGGGCCTTGAGGGGGTTATGGCGGGCAAAGCTTTTCAGAGGGAAATACTTGAGCAAGACCTTGAAGCCAAGATCGCTCTGTGTGGAGGGGATAATACCACCTCCAAGAGGTTATGGGTTTGTCTGGGCTCATCCAGCTATACAAGCAGGAAACCATCTCAGCTCCTTCCCACCCTTTCTGGCTGGGAGGGAGGTGTCCTGGCAAAGTGGGTGGAATATGGGCAAAGAGACCAGGGCCAGGACCGTCCCAGGGCCGGCCAGCGTGACTGCCCCCCAGGCTTGGAAGTATGACAACCCCTCTCGGGGTGCCGGCAGCAGGGGGTGTTGGGTTTCGGGCTCCTGGCAGCAGTGGTGGTGCCCTTTCGGCTGGCCTTTGCGAGTTCAGACAGTGGCCCAGCGTCCTTCTCTTCCACATACGAGCCATCCCCACCCTCCTGTGGCCTGAATTGTCCTGCCTCCCCACAATGGCATCTGCCCCAAAATAGCTTCCATGTGAGGGCTGGAGACAGGGAAAGATTAGACCCTGGCATGAAAGTGGGGGGGAGGGGGTGCGGGGGAGGAGAGGGGGAAGGCAGTGAGGGGTCAAGTGATCTGTGTCAGGCCTCGGGGAGGGTATAAATCCCACTTGGGCCAGGTGGCCTCAAACCCCAGCTGCAGGGCCAGGTCACCCAGTCAGCCCTCACTTGCTCTCTTTTCTTCTTCAGACTGCGCCATGGGGCTCAGCGACGGGGAGTGGCAGTTGGTGCTGAACATCTGGGGCAAGGTGGAGGCTGATGTCGCAGGCCATGGGCAGGAGGTCCTCATCAGGTAAAAGGAAGATATCCTGTTGTCTCTCTCAGCTCCTTCCCAAAGAGCAGGATATCAGCTTGAGAGGTGGAATGCCTTCCCAGGGGTTGACCAGTTGGCTGTGTTAGCTGACTTTGTTAGAATTCCCACTTGGTTCTTTCTCCTTTGCATTCAAATGTCAGGGATTAGAGGCAGGAAAGGAAAAGGGATCCATCTCATACTTAGGTCAGCAGCTGGGAGAAGCATGACAATCAAGCACTAGATGCCTAGAGCCCACCAAGAGGAATCCTAGAACTGTAGACAGTCAGCAAGGGCCTGAGAGATCTTGTCCAGCCGCCTCACTTAGCGTAAGAGGACAGAAGGAGGTAGGACTGGCCTCTGAGAGAGGAAGGATGTGCCCAGGGCCACATGTCCATTAACATCTGCCCAACGAAGCACGGAGCTCTCAACCTGGCTCTGCCCCTGGGCAGCTGTGTGACCTTCAGGAAGGTATACAACCTCTGGAGCCTCCATTTTCCATCCTAAACAGTGAGGGGAAATCCTAAGATCCACATTACAGAAGCGAAATGAGAATGATATAAGGTGACACATGTTAAGGGGCCAGGCGCAGTTCCTGGCATAGAATGAGTTCTAGAAGATGTTAGTAAATGTCATAGACGAAGCCCAAACTATCGACCTCTAAGTATTATAACTAGAAACAGAAGACAGAGGCTCACTACGCCCCATTAAGTCCCATTTGTGACTTTGACACTGGGTATGTCTTGAGTTGAGAGCTCAGAAGGGTATTGTGGTCTCCAAGTGCATCTCACTTTTTATAGCAAGGGGTTCCTGAATAAACCAAAGAAAACAAGATTCCAAGGTTTGTGAACAGAGGGTGGCTTGTAACTTGTAAGTAGAATTTTATTTCCCCATTGCCCTCCACCCCAAGTGGCGATAGACTTCCACTCCTGGTCCTGATCCCATGCTCTGGGCCAGCGCAGGTTAAATATCCAATGGGTTGCAAGTCAACATTTGTGCACCTGGGAGGAAGCGGGCCCTGGGGTTGCCCTGAGAGAACAGACTGTCCATTGCACTTGAATTTACAGATGCATTTCTTCTGTGTTATGAGCCAGAGAAACTTTTCCTCTTTCTCTCAGATGCCTTTTCATTCTCCCTTGAGCTTCACCCCTTCCCAGCTCCCATGCTGGGGGAGAAGGACCAGCCCTGTGAACTCTACCATCTGAAGTTCAAGTCCTTAGTGGTCCGCACTAGATACACTTGAGGAAGGACAGCCAAGATCTTGGTTGACTCTAACTGGCAGTTGGGGGTGTTCCCTATGTCTCTGTTCCCCTGTCTCTGTCAGCTGGCTGTTGGGGCAACAGGTCCCATTTGATTGGACAAAAGACTCTCTAAAGTCAACATCAATTCCTCAGCTGCCACTTTGCGAAGGTGACCTTGGACAGACATTTTTCCCTGCTGGCTCCTAACTGTCTTGGCTGAGTGAAGGGATAGCCTGCCGGAGTCTCTGAGGTCCCTCCCCACTGTCATGGTCGGGCATTCTCTGAGTCCATGGTCCCCCCTTACCCTCGGAGGGGAGGCAGGGTGGGTGGGGTGGGAGAGCAGGGGGTCTTTCCAAGGTGCGGGGCTGCCAGCCTCAAGGCGGTGGCTTGGCTGACCTGAAGGAGGCCCGGGGGTGCTGTGTCATCGGGGCAAGCATTTCCTCCTTCCCCAGGGCGGATCACAGAGACCTGCCGGGTGCCAGGGGTGGGACGTGACACTGAAGCTGGGGGCCCCTGGCAGCCCCAGGAAGCCTGATGCCCCAACACCTCAGGCTGTAGGGCTGTAGGGACCATGCCAACTGGCTCTGCCCTCTTAAGGTTTGGGGTCTGGGGAGGATGACCTCCCTGGATGTTGGCAGGGGAGTGGAGGGGACAGGACACTAGCTCTCAGGGCTGCAGATGCCTCTACAGAAGCTGCTCTTGGTTCTGTTCCAGAGGCTGGACCTGGGCTTTCTTACTGACCTTGGAAAGATCATTTCTCCCATTCCTCTGATTATAAAAGAGAGTAAATTTTATCCAAATGAGTCTGTTAATAAAACACTGAGGGCTTCGCTGCAAGTACATGATTCAAAGTTCAAGAACATAAATGCTGGAGGTCAGTGAGAGGTTCCGGCTTCAGGAATGGGGGTTCAGCAGGGAGGGGGCTGCCGGGTGTGCCCTCAGATCACCGCCTTTCCTCCTCTAGCTCAAACCTTTTCTACTTGACTTATTTTTACATTTGAACAAAAGATTTCAAGACTGTGAAAAGTTTGAAAATCACTGCTGGTGGCCGATACTTGTCACTTTACAGGGAGGAGACGCGGCCCAAGTCTCAGCCGGCCAATGGCAGCTACAGACAGAACTGAAAATTCCCAATCCTAGTGATTATGATGGTGGAGATGGCGAGGACAGGAGGAGGAGGTGACGGCGGCAAACTGGTGGCCGTGACGGTGATAATGGTGGTTGAGATGAGGAGGAGGAGAACAGCAAATGTTTATACAGTGCAACTGACTGCCAGGCCCTGTGCTGTGCTGCACATATATTAACTCAAGCCTCACCAGGACCTTACGAGGTGGACATTATTGTGACCACCACATTTAACAGAGAGGTTAAGTAAGTTGCCCAAAGTCACACAGCTGAACTCAGATCCAGGCAGCTGAGACCCAACGTGCCTCTTTTGACCACTATGCTTTATTGCTCCACAATCTTGGCAAACTGAAGATGAATTCCCATCCTCACTCTGGTTCCTTTTTCCTAGAGCAGAGAAGGGTTTTTGTGAGTCTGAGAGAAGAGAATCCTCGTTGTCCGTGCAGGTGTCCGATGGGGCATCAGTTCTGAGGACGCTGGGAAACGGCCTCCCCTCTCTCTGACTTGCCGGCCGGTTGACGATGGGATCGCAGATGAAAACCCAAGGCAGCTGGGGGCTCCTGAACATACTTGGGACGCATTAGGGGCTCCTTTTCTGGTGGCTGCGGTTAGGCCTATCCAAGTGCGGCCTTCTGCGGCTGGCCCGGGGGCTCCCTGCCGCGGGTTGGGGCCCAGAATGATCCAGCAGGCACTGATTGGCCCCATTTTCCTGCAGCACTTCGAGCCGATCGGGGCTCCCCCCTGCCTGACCAGTGTAGAGACAGAGGGTGAGGCGTGGGTCCAGCCTTAGAATCTGGAGGCTGAGGAGTCAGCTAGACTGACCCTTTCGGTTCTCAGGAGTGCGAACCAACACAGAGGAGTCAAGTCACTTCCTCAGGGTCTCACAGCACCGTGAGACAGAGCTGGGACCAGAACTCAGTTTCTGTAAATCTCAGTCTCATGTTTTTTCCCCCAGACAGCTGGAGGACTCCCAAAATGTCTGAGATCCATGGCTGTGGCCCTGGATCTGCCCGAGACAATCTCCTCCAGCGTCCTGACCTTGGACTTCATCTGCGGGTGCTGGGTCTTGCATCTGACAGGCAGGAGTTCAAGGATCATTGTCACCAGATAATAATAGTCAGGAGTTCAGGGACCCCTGGGTGTGAGGTGCCAGCGATGAGCTGTCAGTGATGCACAAGGCTTGGCAGGGAGGGTGAATTGGTGTCAAAGAGCATGAACACTGGGGAGGCAGGAGGGATCCGCTCCTGGGGGCAGGGAGCCCCCGCCGGGCTACGCAGCACATGCTTGTGTGTGTTTCTGGGGCTGTGCTGTGAGAGGCTCACCCCACTGGAGAGTGTCCACACTTGGGCTGAAGGGTGTCGCAGAGCCAGGAAGCTACAAAAGAGGAAACTTTCAAGTAATTGGAGCTACTGGGCAGAAGGAGGGGAAGCCTGGGCACACAGTGTCACTCCCGCAGACACTTCAGGGAGAGACCATGAGTTATGCAACCGCCCACTGGGCTTTGGGTCTGGGGTCTGCCACCAAATGGCCATGGGACCCTGGGCAGGTCACCTGCCTCTGGTCTAACGTTTGCCCACAAGAGAGATGGGGAACTCACTCCCACCCAGGTGGTAGCTATGACTCCTTTTAATGAACGCACACCTTTCCACAGCAGAGACATCTGGGTCCAAGGCTGCTCAGGATCACAGGCAGCGTCCCTCTGTGCCAGCTCACTGAGAACCTGGCAGGAGTGGGGACCTGGTCTTTGGCAGGTGGCTCCCACCAGGGCCCCTTACCGCCTGCACTGTGAGGAGCCTGGGGGGTGCAGGGAGTCCGAACACACAACGCATGAGCTTTCTGAGCCTGGAGCTGCTCTGGAGTGGAATGGCTCTCACAGGCAGTGATCAGTCTCCTGTAGCTGGAAGTATTTAAGCAGCCTAGGATGGTCCCTAGGCAGGAAGCTGCAGAAATGGTCCCTGTGTGGACTGCTGTTTGCGTCACTCAGACCTGATTTCAGCCTTGCCCATCTGCACACCAGCCCTGTAATATTGAGCAAGGACTTCACAGCTCAGCCCTTGTCTGTAAAATGGTAATAATGTGAGCCTAGAAGGAAGCGCAAGTTCAGAGCCTAGCCTGGGGCCTGGCACACAGTGGGTGCTCCACAAGTCCAGGTTCCTTCGGCCCAGTGCTCCCACCTCTCCCTGCCCTACCCGTGAGGTCATTCAGTCACCTACCCCCCACACAGCTCAGAAGCCAGGGAGTGACACAGAGACATCCCTCCTTCCTGCTTTTCGCAGTGATGATGGAGAGGAAGACACAAATAATGACATGACCGTTTATATAACGCTTCCTGGGTGGCGCTCCCCAGACATGATCTCATTTACTCCTCACAGCACGTCTGCGGGGAGGGACTAATTATCCCCCTTCCCTGGAGGAGGATGCCCAGGTCACACAGCTGGGAAGTGGCAGAATCCATGCTCGAACTTGGGTCTCACCACCCCCAGATCCCACCGCACGTTCCTGCGCTGACTCCAGCCCTCTTGTGCCCACAGGCTCTTTAAGGGGCACCCTGAGACCCTGGAGAAATTCGACAAGTTCAAGCACCTGAAGACAGAGGACGAGATGAGGGCCTCCGAGGACCTGAAGAAGCATGGCTGCACCGTGCTCACCGCCCTGGGAGGCATCCTCAAGAAGAAGGGGCATCATGACGCGGAGCTGAAGCCCCTGGCCCAGTCGCACGCCACCAAGCACAAGATCCCCGTCAAGTACCTGGAGGTGGGAGGCAGGGCCAGGGGCAGGTCGGGGGGATGGAGGGAGAGGCCTGGAAGGGGTGAGATCCCCCAGCCCAGCCACTGACATGCTGGGCACCTAGGTCACCCCTCTTTGTGCTCCAGCTCCTCCTCTGTAAAGTGGGCTGTCACCCACTTCGCTTCCTCCTGGTGTCCCACATTGGTATGTCATCACAAAGGAAGAAGGGGAAGGCGAATATTGGGGGCACCACTTGCATTCTCTCTGCAGACAGGTACCATTATCACACCCATTTGACAGATGAGGAAACTGGGGCACAGAGAGATTTAGTAAAGGCCACAGAAGTGGCATATGGCAGAGCCAGGGTTCAGACCAGGTCTGTATCCCTCCAGAGCCACCGGGAGCCTGAGCCAGGCGGGTCTCATGCAGCAGGAGTCCTGCAGCCAGGGCTGCATTCGGGGTGGCCGCTGGCCACTCTACCGGCTTGCTCACCTTTACAGATGCAAAGAGGGCCTTAGGCGTCCTAGGCATAGGCAGCTGGTTTGCAGGTCCTGTGACAGACTGCGAGGTTGGGTGGGAGGCTGGGGAGGGCCTGGCTTCCTGTCTGGCCTCCCTAACCAGTGAGAGGAGGGCATGTGCTGAGATGGGGCTCCGGGGACCTGGGGGTCAAGGGCCTCGTGGAGAGGTGCATCCCCTGGGGCTGGGGCAGCTCTGAGGAGGAGGATTGTGGCGATGGCTGCACCCCACATGGGCCGGGGTAAGCCTGTGCCTGCTCACTGCTCGGAATTCTGTTACCCAATGAGGAATTCCACTGAGCAGCATCTTTTCCTGACACGCAAAACAAATTTGGAGGTGGAGGGTTCGGGGCTGGCGTCGAAGCCTCGCAGTCAGGGGGAATGCAGGCTCTTTCTGGGCTGCCGTCTTTGACAGGAAGGAGAAGGCGGACCTCAGGCAGGCAGTTAGCAATTTCTGTCTGAAGCAGGTACCCTTCTCATCCCCATGTTATGGGTTTGGAAACAGGGCTCAGAGAGGTTAAATAGCCTACCTGAGGCCGCACAGCCGATAAGCCAGGAGGTATAGTCTCATCTATGGTACTCTGGAACCCAAGCTCTTAACCCCTTGTGACACAGTATCTCCCTTCAGTGACCACCTCCACCACCAACCTCCAGCCCCTCAGCTTCACCTCCATGCACCCCTACCTGGCCCCTCAAATCACACATCAGCAGTCCTGCCCACCCATCCCTGCCCATCATAGACACAAGGAGCTGCTCCTGACTCTGAGATCCTGCACATTCCGTGGTCCCTGTCTGTCTTCTCTTGGCAGCAAATCCCTGCCCAGCCTCCAAGGCCCAGCTTAGAAGCCACTTTCTCTGCATGAGGCAGTCAGCTGTTCTGCCCACCAGCACCCCCGCCCTGCCCCAAAGGCCACTTGATCCTCATCGCTGCTGTGGCGCCTGCCCGGCTCTGTTGTGATTTATCTCCTTCCCCAGCTGTCTCCTGGCTGGCCTACAGGCTCCTCAAGGGCAAACTGTGGCTCACTCCCCTTTCTGAACCCCAATGGCATGTGGTGGCTCACAGGACAACTTGAATCCCCTCTCTGGGAACAAGATTCAGAGAGAGAGAGAACCATGCAGCCCAGACAGCATGAGCAACTAGTAGGCTAGAACCCAGGTCTACTTAAAACAAGTTTAATTTGCTGCATAATTCCTGCAGAGAACTCAGGGCCCACGTCTGCTCTCCGCTCACTGTGGAAACTCGTTCCGCGCTCTCCATAAGAAATTGCTCCTTCTCACCAGGGAATGAGGGGCCACGGAGGGTGCTGGGTACCAAGGGCAGCCTTCTTTTCTCAGTTGTCCAGCTGGCCCATCCACAGTTTTCTAGGTATGAGGGGCTCCACCACAGAACCAGGAAAGGCTGAGTGGGGGGCAGCTGATGATGTCATCTAAGCCCCCATGTTACAGGTGCAGCCACACATGGGGGTCAGGGCAGAGCTGGGCCTGGAACTCAGTCTCTCAGGGCCCTCCCGCAAGGGCAGTGCTTGCTTCCCAGCACCCCTTGGTTTTGTTGCACTTACAACGTTAATGATGACGTATGTCAAAATTGGTGCCCTGAGGTAGGTGTTTGTGGAGCTGTCCCTGTTTCTGAGCTGAATGGTCTGTACCAGGTGTTGACATTGGTTCTCCTTGAGGCCTCAGCATGTGCCCCCCACCCACCCATGCTGGTCACTTGCCCCCTGAGAAAATGGAAGTCACTGCCTCTGCCCCAGCTCTGCCAGTCACCTGTGCACAGTTCCCTGGGCACAAATCCCAGCTCTGCCATCCACTTACCACATGATCTAGACTGGCTCTGCCCTGTCTGGGCCACAGTAAAATGACACCACTTGG